CATAGACATGACAGAGTGAAGGAGGAAGAAAAGAGAGAGGAAAAGGAAAACGATTTTCATAATTCAAAATAACGTAACGAAAAATAAAAATATATCAACATTTTCAAAGTAATGAAAATAGTACCACAAAATAAGAAACTTTGGAGTGAAAGTAAATGTTAAAGGAAATATAAACAGAGAGACGTAACTTCCTGTTGAGGGAAGGCAGATGAGAAGAAAAAATGGCGAACTCACCTGACACCTGCAGACGACGTCAGCATCCATAGCAAGCATATCAACGACCTTGCCTTTACCCTCGTCACCCCATTGCGCACCAAGAACGACAGTAACTTTGGCTGTAGCACTTGACACACGTTGTTTCTTTTTCGGTGAAGCGAGAACGCCGTCCCCATTTGCTTGTTGGACGGAACGCTGCATCTTCGAATACGAAAAATTCGTAAATTTTCGAGCAATTGAACAAAATGCGCGCGCACGTGCAGCTTGTAAATCGCCGCGCGACTGCTCAAACATAGACCGGTAAAACGACTTAACTGGTTTATATGCCTGAGTCGAATGAAAGGACATCTAGGGAGAAAAACTAAAAGTTGCGCAAATCAAATAGACATATACATAATAAATATACATATAAATTTGAGTGTCGAAAGTTTTGACGAGAACATCTAATTTTACAGTAAAATAGTAAAACAATCTTAATTTTTGTTAATTAAAAAGTATAACAGCACTAATATATCTTACTGTCTACTTTGAATAAATTTCATTCGTTAAGTGAAATTATTACTTCAATAAAGAAATTACCGTGTAAAAGAATAGTGAATAATGTAAAAAATTTTAGTGCATTTGTGAATATAACAAAAATAATTCAAGGAGACATTAGGAAATGTATAAACTATATATTTTATAAAAAAAAAATTTAATTTTGTACATTAATAATACGAGAGTAACGTATAACAAAATTAAATGAAATTTTGAAATAGTCATTTATATATATACATTATATAACGTCACATGTTTATGTAACATGCAGCAAAATAAAATGTACTTAAAAACATAAAGGTGGGAAAATTCGAAAATAATATTATACATTTGAATTTACACAATATATGTTTTAAACACCTTACACATATGAAATTACTTTTCTAAACATATGCTGTATATAAAGTATATGAAAATTTGTATACAAAAAATGTAAAATAAGTATTAAAGCATTAAAGCAAAATAAAATATTACTTATGAAATTATTGTGAAAATAATTTATTCGATACTTATTAAGTTTTATATATTGATATTAACCTAAGAAAGTTGAATAATTGGTTTATATAATATGCCTTTTTTGAAATCAAATTTTTACGAATCCCTTTATACTTTAATATATTTTCATCATTATTTTATAGATTACTTATATTCGTGATTGATAATATTTTTCATATTATGTTGTATCTATTAAACACTCACATATGAAAAAGATATTTCCCAAAAGAGAACTGTTTGAATAAACGTCAGAAATAACATTAATGGATAGTAACTACGTCATTACGTTTAATTGTGTTTCAATAAAATTTTAAATTGTTTTCCGTTAAATAATAAACTGCTGAAATGAAAATTATACTATTTTAAGCTGATGAGTTTAGAAATGTAAAACTTTAAATTTACGCGTAATAATAATGTACATAAGTGTATATTGTAAGACGGATAATGTTGAATAAAATTGTTTTCTTTGTTTATTAACAATAATTAGTAATTTTTAGTATATTGCGCAATATCACTTAAATGAAAATATTACAAATGTTGCATATAAATATTATTATTTAATATGTCGTAAAGCAAATGTTGACAAATACATTATTTTATTGCTCTATTTGATTAATATTACTGTTATATTCATGTCGGTTTACTTATGAACAAATAAAATAAAAATAAGAAAAAAGTTTTAATAATATATTTGAGTTATAATAATAAGTTTACTATTAAGTGTCACGTTGCATCTATAGACACCTGTATTCAATGGAAGGTTAAGCATTCATTGATATTCTAATAACAGTTTTATACTAAAATAGTACTACTATTCAGAAACTGTTTTAACTGTAAGCACACGTTTACTAAAGTCATAATATAATGAAAGTATTAAAAATATTAAAATATAAA